ATGAGCACAAGAAGTTGGGCTCAATGAAATTTGCAGAGATAACAGTTTTGGTCCTCTTCATAATACTGGTACTGCTGTGGTTCACCCGAGACCCTGGTTTCATGCCAGGCTGGGCAACTACTCTCTTCAGCAAAGATGGTACAAGGTATCACCACTTTTCCTTCTAACTCTGAGCAGAAGTAAAGCAGGAAATCCTAGAAATATAAAGTATAGTCTGACTTCTCGCTTCTCAAATCATATTTCACCTGTATTCCCAGATGAAATTACCACTACTTAGTCTGCGAACAAGCCTTGCTCTATTATCATATCAAATTTATATGCAAAACTTTCACTTATTATCATGCTACCCTGTTCTTTCAGTTCCCTATGCATCCAAAACAGTATTAGCCTAATTTTCTGTCTGATCTATTACAGCTTTGTCACTGACGCTACTGTTGTCGTCTTCATTTCAATTTTGTTGTTCATCATCCCTTCTGAAATTCCTAAATCCTGCTTCCATACCAGTGGTAGAGACAGACAGCAAACAAGTAAGTTCACTGAAGGCCTCAAAACTCAAGTGTCAGAACAGAAACACAGGAAGTTTCATTACATTTTAGATGTACAAAGGAAATTTCAAACATTAAACAAGATTTCACATTGCACTTCCTGCATACTTTTGGCTAGATGCTTTAGGTTAGGCAAGGTATATATCACATAACAGATCTGTTTCTTGTGACTGCACTAAGTGGAAACTCTTATCTAAGCAGTGCCTCAGAGATCAGTACATTAAAGGGTCTGAAGCCAGATTCCAGAGGAGAGAATACGTGACTTAAGAGAAACACATACACCTCTGAGGATATGTTTCCATACTTATAATCCATTCATACATTTAGTTCACCTTGTTATGCCTCTTGGAACAACAGATTATTCATTAGTATTTTTGCAAGTCAACTTTAAAATCTTTGTTGCTGAGGCTCCCATCACTTCCTTTAGGAGATAATTTCATAATCTAGTTGATCTTGCTGACACAAAGTTTTTTCCCCAATGTTCAGACTAAAATCACTTCCCACTCACAAGTTCTCTTTTCCACGAAGAATGTAAGAGGGCTTACAAAGTCTTTTTGGATTTTAGACAGCAAGCCAAAGATTGCAGTACCTGCAACTCTCCTGGACTGGAAAACAGTTCATCAGAAAATGCCATGGAACATTGTTTTCCTGCTGGGCGGTGGCTTTGCCTTAGCCAAAGGCAGTGAGGTAACATTCCTGTTCTTACCTGAGCACTGCTTGGCTGATTCCTGCACACTTCCCAGCTCACATTGTGCGTGCTCTTCTAGAACAGGAGAGGGCACGCTGGTCGCAGCAAACGAGCAGCTCCGCAGGCACGGGCACCTAGACAGACTTCAGCCCCCTTAGAAGGAATGCTGTGGTCAGAAGAGCAAATAATTGCTGCCTGCACAACCAGTCAAGGCAGCATAATTGACTATGTTTGTAGAAAAGTAAATAATGCAGAAAATATCCCATTACCGATTTCATTCAGCAAAACTTAGTTGATATGGCAAAAATGAGGTGTTAATGTGCCCAGGAAGGGTTTCCAAACCATTTCTAACAAACTACTCAAGGAAATATGACTTGAACTAAACAAGTGATGCACAGCTAGCTAGAAAGCCTTAGAAAGTGTATAAAAATGTCAGGCTGTCACACTGATATACTTCTGCAGGCACCTGTGAGAAATGCAGTGCTACGATTCTTTTTTTCAGTAATGGAACAATACATTTATTAAATCTGCAGACAACAATCACAGTAGAAAAATTTTCAATCACCTGGGAATACTAGTTTAGAATTCCAAGACTTGTAAGTGTTGCTATAAAACAGAAAATCATGATGCAACTTAAAATGGAAAACAGATTTGAAAACAAACAAGCACCTGGAACTTATAAGTAGGTGCATCCTACATAAGACATGCAAAATTAAATCTTTTCACACAGGACTGGAAAGTCCTCAGGTACATTCACATATTAAGTTCTGGAGAGCATTCTTCAATGACGTGTGGACTATATGAATAAACCTTACAGGAAAGAAATAAAAGTTATCAGGGGTCTAGGAAAAAAGTGTTGGAAAAAATGAAAGATTCTAGAAATGACATTTATTTTTTCTAAGAAGTCATCAAATGCATAAAAAGCTGTGTCAAAAAGGAAGACAGTATACTTTTTTCTCTTCTTATTTTGGCTAGGACAAGTGCTAAAGGGCTTAATCTGCAGTAAATGAGATTTAGGTTATTCATTAGGAAAATATTTCAACTATAAAGATATTTAAGCACTTGAATAAATCATTTGGGGAGATTTTTAAATCTTTGGACATTTTTAGCTACAGATTGGAAAAACATCCGTCAGGATAATTTAGGTATGAATTTAGGTAGAGTCAGTTCTGCAGTAAGGCATAGACTTAGACAAGTCCTTTCAAGACAGATTTCAACTCTCCTGCAAGACACAACTTTTCAGGGTTAGAAAAGACAGGCTGAGGTAGTTGAGACATTAAATAAAAGGGACACAGAAGAGTAATGTCTACAGAAAACATAAGAAAGCTAAGCCATAGCGCATAAAGAAGCAAGACAGGCATGGTAAGGATATATCCTCCTAAGAGAAAGGCTTGAATAAAAAGGATGCCCAAATTATGGACTGATCCAGAAGAAGAGATTTTTAGGAAAGTACGCTGTATAGGAAAGTACATTGATTTTTATTTGCCCTACTGAAATACTGTGTCTATACAAGCCTCTATTTTTTCTGTAGAAAGCAGTTTGTATAAGATTTTCTAGTAGAACAGAGTGGGGAACTGGGAGGGAATTGAACTGGACAGTGATGTGGGAATTTGTTCTCCAGCCTGCTATCTTGAGAGACCTCTTCCTTTACCTTCCCAACAGGAATCTGGTCTGTCTGCATGGCTAGGCAACAAGCTGACTCCTCTGCAGAACATCCCTCACCCAGCTATTGCCTTCCTCTTGTGTCTCCTCATTGCTGTTTTCACGGAGTGCACTAGTAACGTTGCCACCACGACCCTCTTTCTGCCTATTCTGGCTTCAATGGTAAGTTCCAGTGTTTCAAAATATTTCCTAAGAACAGCTTTCAAGTCTGCTCCAAATATTTACCCGCTCAGTTATACAAACTAACTAGTTGACAATGCCAAGCATTGGTTCATGTATTTGATTATGAGACCATATTTAAAATACACATATATATGTATATGCATATATATTTGCACATATTGTATGTTTAGTTCAACATTTCAAAAATTATTGCAGGTGAAAAGTAAAGAGATTAAATTCACTAGACTACTAGATTTTGCCTTCTGGCCTAAACAACCTCATGAGGTCACTGCCAGCAGTACTTGTTTTTTTCCCTATTTATTCTGGATAGAGGCATCAGCATTTGCTTCCCTGCAACATTCCATTATTGTATTTCACTCCAACTACCAACCTTCCAGAAGTCTCTGTAAGGGTGATACCATTAGTCAGTCCCTATGACCTAATTCAGACTTTTGCATTTCCACAGAAGACAGCAGTTCCTGGGGTGGACATATTTCTGCAGTATGAAATCCTGGTCCCAGATTGAATCTGAATAAGCTACATTAAAACCTTTTTTCATAGGCAACGGACTCCAACTACCTAGTAAACTTACCGCTCATCTTCAGATTTTGGGCTGCCCTATTCCCATCGATAACTTAAATTTGTTCTTAACCAGTTTGAAGTCATTTTACATTTGCTTTCCCGGTTTTAGAGTCGAATACAGCCATTAAGATTAATCTGTACTGCAGCAGTGATCAGGTTCCACAATTAGGAACACAAAGCACTGACCACAAAACCAATTCTTGCTTTTGCTGCATAAAGACCTTGAGCAGAAGTTTTTAATGTAGAACCAAACTGTGAGTGGCTACAGCACTGGTAAAAGAATGAGGTTTCTGACATGGACAGTCTGAGACTTTCCTCAGATTTCTGTGCATTTTTTTTGTATCAACCAACACCATCTTTGCTCTCCTCCCTGCACAGGCTCAAGCAATCTGCCTCAATCCACTCTATGTCATGCTGCCCTGTACACTTGCTGCATCACTGGCGTTCATGCTCCCGGTGGCTACTCCTCCTAACGCTATTGTCTTCTCGTATGGACAACTCAAGGTTATAGACATGGTGAGCAAAAGCAGGTTTCTTTTCAGAGATCTCATCGATAGCTCTTCATCTTCCCATATTGGTTCTTCTTGAAAGAATGCTAGAAAAGTGACTACTCTGCTGAAGCCAAACAAAGAACACACCAGTGTGAATTAATAGAGGGTCACTCTGTTCTCAGAGCCTTACTGAATATGCTACTGAGGACTTAGTACAGCAGATTTTCTGTTGGAGATGTGAGTAAAGGTCAAAGAGGCAAGACAGAAAGTTCACAGAATATTCAAGGTTGGAAGGGGCCTCTAGAGATCATCTAGTCCAACCTTCCCGCTCCAGCAGGCACACCTAGAGCATGTGGCACAGGGTGGCATCCAGGTGGGTTTGGAAGATCTCCAGAGAAGGAGACTCCACAACCTCCCTGGGCAGCCTGTTCCACTGCTCTGTCACCCTCAAACAAGCCTAATGGGCAGGGAAGGAAAAAAACAATCAGCTCAGCTGATCATCCTTTCTCTTTATAATTTAGGCTAAAGCTGGATTTGTACTGAACATCCTAGGAGTTCTGACAATAACTCTAAGCATCAACACCTGGGCTACATCCTTGTTCCAACTGCAAACCTTTCCATCTTGGGCAAATGGGACTTCATGCTAACGCGAAACAATGAAGAAACCAACAATTCTGCCTGACAGAACTGCAATGTGAGCAAGACTATCATCTGCAGAAGAGCTGGCTGAGATGGTCCATTCTGTGGGAGAGGACATGCCACTTACAAGCAAAATCACTCATTGGTAACAGCAATAAAATGGCTAATAGTTCTGTTTTAGTGAGCAGTTTGGTTACCCCGGCAGACAACTGAGATAGCCTTTTGCTTTTCCGCTGTTACAGACATCTTTAGATTGTGTTTCTCATGTAGCAGTGGTAAATTTTCCAAGTACTACGTCCAGCAACCATCTTTCAAGCTGTTACTGAAGTCCCAAATCTGCAGTGAGAAAGATGTGCAAAAGCAAAAGGCAGGAGAGAGACGCTGTGACTTTTTATGCTTGTACCATCAAAAATTATACTAATATTTACCTCTCTGTGAATATACAGGCTTCTGTGAAAATGTCCAAAATGCATACAAGATTGTTGTATACTCTATGGACATTAATACTAAGGCATGTATTATACATTTATAGACAAAGAGTGTTAGGCCATTCTATTACTTTATAACATATTTATTTACAGCTCACACTGTTTTGAATGTAAAAGACATTCTTCCTAGAATATATGTGCTATTGTTATTTATGTAAGATTACAGCCTGCAAAGTCACAAGAGGAATAGTAACACTCTCTTGAAAATAGAGGAATCCTTGTGTCCTAAAGTCTGTAAAATTGAATTAAAGATTTTTATATAATTCTTGTGTTAAGGAGATTTTTCTTCTACAAAAAAATACCACTACTTGTACTTCTGCCTTCCACTTTTCAACTGCTTGTCCATGCCTTCTTCAAACAACTTGCAGTAATCAGGAAGCTAGCCAAGTCATTATTTCTGGTAATGTTAAAATAATAATAGCTTTATTATTGAGACTGCAATTTCCTTGTACTCTCTATTACTTGGATTCTCTATACTAAGATTATCTTTTCAAAAATCCATAAGACAGTTACTAAGTGTTTAATTCTTTTTCTATAGGATCTGAATTTCAACAGCACAGGGATTGCTAATGACCAAACTAACAAAGATGGTGGAATTTTTGGTTTTCCATCAGCATTTGAATTCCCAAAGCACTTGGAAAATCAATCACCTAATTTCAATAGACAAGGCTGGGTTCTTACAGAACAGTTAGTCTGTGTGTCATTGAACTTCATGTCAAATCTCTTGTTCTGTTGTTCCCTACTAAGTTTTTGCACAGTCTGGGGCATTACTAAAATCATACTTCACCACCACTGCTTTAATGCAAATGATGTTATGAGTCAAATTCACCCCCTGTCCCGTCCTCCCCCCAGTTAATGGTAACCTAGCACAAAAGTGCTTTGATCTAAAAAAAGTTAGAATTTCTGAGCAATTGATCTCATTCATGTAAGGACATAGTCAGATCACTGCTAACCCACTCACCTTTCCCTTTGGATTTACCTCTATCGAACAACACCCAAGTCTGTCTAAATATTTTCATTACCTGGCTCATCTGACAAACCTAAGCAAAAGATCTGCTGCAAACCTCTCCCTTGGTTGCTCTCTATGCTCTCTGTCTCTGGCATCGAGGCAGTGCGTATAACTTTGGTTTGTTTTTAGTTTTCTTTGTAACGCTAGCACAAAGTTTGTGTGTCCTCCTAAATTATTGCTTAGGTAAACAGGAAAGGCTGAATTCTTGTAACATTTCCCGTCATCCTCTCTTTCCTGCCCTTCAAAACTGTGTTATGATTCTTTGAAGTCTTTTCTACTACTCTACATTATTCAGAGGCTGTGGCGTGCATAAGTACATGCAGGAGCGCAGGTGCAATCTTTATGGCAATCTCAAGAAGAAAGACATCAAATAGCACAGAGTGTCATGGGGCCAATGCAGTAATGCTGGGTGTTCCATGTGCATTAGCATAGATGAGTATATAAAGCATAGAGACTTACCATAAAATGGCTCCAGCAAAAGTTACTTGAATGGTATTCAAATCCCCAGCTTCCAGGAGGAGACAAGTGAAAGGCAGGGCAGTAATCTACAGAGAGAGAAGGTAACAATGATACTAGAACATAAAGAGCACGGAAAACTCATTAATAGATTCCCCCTAAATGATGGTAGTGAAAAGTAGACACAGGGCAGTTTATTGCCTTGGGAGTGTCTGAGTTGAAATATAGCTAAATACAGTGTGCTTGTGCAAAAAAATAACCCCGTGACACTATTAAAAATGTTCATAATTTTCTAAGCAAAGCAGGTAGAAAGTGTTTCTAAGGCCCATTATTACACAGATCACCTTTGAAGGGTGGTTCCCCAATATGTTTCCAGATATTGCCCTCAAGGAGTGGCTCTCTTTCCCATTGTGTGATCAAATTTCACAATCTTCTGCGAAACTGCCAGGTCAGCACCTGCTGTAGCTAGGTGTGATTCCTCATGCAGCTCTTCATTTTGGAGCTGACACTAGGTTTGTTTTACATAAGAGTTGTAAGTGATAAATTTGTTAATGAGAAGGGGATGTTGCCTTCTTGCCTGCCTTGTCTAAGAAGCGAGCGCGCTGCAAAACCACAAAATGCAGGTTTCCCACAGCAGATGCCAGTGAGTAAGTGGGTGACTTGCAGTCACCTCCTCCATTTTCCCTGCAGTTACAGTGCTGCCATGCCCTGCCCAGAAACACACACAGAGCACTACAGGCACATACATGTACACATTAAAGATGATGAAGGACTTAACCCTGATACATACACCTCTCCAGTACACACAGCCACAGCAGAAAATCAGAAGAGCATTAAGCGGACAAACACAAGAATAAAAATAGCTTACAGCTGAGAAAGGTACTTCTTCATAAACATGTCTACAGGAATTTCAGTGTCATGCAAGTGATGCAAGAGCTGCTCCACCAAGCACTGAGATCACAGAGCTAGGAGAAGAGACGGTGATTTTAAAAGACAAGATAGGAAAAAGTCAGTATTATTTTTGTAATCCTGAAGCTGGCTTGAGGAAATCAGAAATTTGCTCCTAGTCATTTAAATAAACTCAAAAGGTTTTTTTAGTTTGTTTGATTTTTAACAACAAAGAAGTAATAAAACACTATAAAAACAATATAGAAGGAAAAAAAATGTGAAACTGCTGTTGAGGACCCCATGGACAGTAAAGACAAAGGAAGGGCCTCAGTTTTATCAAGTAGTCATAAGCATGTATGCAGCTATATTACTTTCTCCAGAAGCTCCATGAGCAGTTTCACTTCTATCTCTAGAAGCCGGGCTCCTCCTATAGATATCCATGTGTGTTATTAGAAGGCTGCAGCTTTGTGCAAAACTCCAGCTGTCTATATTCAGTGTACATGTCCCAGGAACAAAACTCTCTGCTCTCAGAAGGTATCGTGCTGCTTTTAGTGTTTGCAAAGGCAGAAAATGAGCTTAAAATTTCTGCAATAAAATATATAACCATTTGAAGAATAGAAAACAGAAATACAAGGACTTAGCAAATATATAACTTCAAATCTTCAAGGAATTTCACAAGACTCAACTCTTTCCAACATGGAACCAATAAAACAATTTACAATGTGATTCACTGAACTTTATGATTTGAGTTAATACAGACCAAGATGCCAAGCCTGGAAACAAAGTTGTTTTGAGTTCACTAATCATCTAGTGCCCAGAATAATAACAACTCTTCATTAAAACTTAATCACTACCGTCCAAATTGTGCATTTTCTCCTTTTAAAAATACATTCACTGTTATTTATCCTTTAATCATGCTAACAGACCAAAAATGTCAAGTTGCTATTTAGAGAGATCGCTCTGTAACGTGCCATCTAGTGGCTGCTAAGAGTCTTCCAGGGCATGCCCGTAGTCCTCAGACGGGGCCAACACCTAGTCTTGCTGATCCTCACCTGAAAGCATCCTTAAATAGCTAAGGAGAAAGTAATAGGGCAAAAGTAACATTTTTAAGAGGCAGTAAGAGGCTTTTTTTTTTTTTTTTCCTCAGAAGAAAAAACACACAGACGAAAATAAAAAATTCAGGGAAGTTCATCTGCAAGTTCAGCTTAGGTTGTTATGTTGAATTTGGATCACACCAGCCACAAATGCTTTGAGGCTCAGATGCTGCATGGCTATGCACAGTAGTTATCTTGATAAAGCACCAATCACTTCTTTTGGATAGGGTTGTATTTTAAATAGCAGCAATAATTAACTAAAACATCGATACTTTATTGTGCTTCAACTTGTTATCTTTCTGCCAGCTTTGGATGAGAATTTAAGTCCTCCTGCTTACTTAGCAGCATTACGGGAATTTCCTCATTTTTCCCTTGATCCCTGTCCAGTCTAAGAAAAGCAGAGCAACTTAAATTTTGCCCAGTACCTGCTAAATGGCTGTCACCACTGATAGTTACTCCAAAAATCTGTCATACAACTCTTCCATCTCTTGGAAGGGAACTGAAAGCCTTAGGATACCAAATTTCATTAATTCTGCTGATTACAGAGCTTCTTGCTTCTTTCAGTAAAGTGAAAGAAGTGGTTAGAATTGTCAGCATAACTAACGGCCATGTTAACATGGAATTGCAAAATGCCAGAACAGCAAATTATTCAAAAGAAGACGGGAAATACAGTCTCAGTACAGCTAGTTAGCTATTGTGGCACTAGCTTTCCTGGTTGTCTATCAAGAGGATCTTAGACAGCAAGTAGCGGTTATTTTGGACCTATTGTGACTGTAAAGGAAAAGTCCCATTTCCCTGTTTGCTGTAGGACTATCCTGATGAGACTTGCCAGAAAATTCAAAAGGATCTACTTTATTTGTAAGATGTCTGTCACCTGAAGTGAGCTTGAATTTTCCTCTCTATTCTTACCTCTGGCAATATCATTCCTGCTACATGAAACATGCAATCATAAATCACTTGGCTGCATTGCAGATAACACCATTGTACAATGGGAGCTTCCTCACACCTGCGCTTTTTCTTTTCTCCTTAGACCTAACCAAGCAGTGTTGTGGTATCAAGAGCTATAACTGATACCGAAGAAAGAGCACAGCCTCAAAATATATGACCTATTCAACTTGAAATGGTCTAATTCTTTCAGTGTTACATCTTTCACATGCAGGCCACATGGAAAGTAGTAACATCACTTGAGTTTATTCAGGTGACTGTTAAAGATCAGACTGTTCGGTGTAACCTACAAGTTTAGGGATGAGGACAGAGCACTTCTCTAATTAGTGGTGAATGCTAATGGCCACAGCGAGGATGACAGGCCTGCTGGACTGTCACACAGGAAAGATCAAGCAGTGAATGCCCAGAAAAAAAAAAAAATACAAAAGCCTCTCTTGTGCTCATACATTCTGTCTTAATTTGAGATGCAATGACAGTTGATAGAAAGCATGGCTCACCAACAAGACAAAGATCAATTTCTGAAATATGTTCAGAAAAGAATGGGAAGTACAGCTGCCCGAAGAACAAATTCTTTGTCCCATTCCAGCTCTAGGAATAAAAGTCTTTCTCCTCACTGTACATGGCGTGTGTGGAAGTGCAGGAGTTCACAGCATGTTTCCATATTTTGGCAGAGATAGTGTAAAAAAAAAAACACATAACTTACTAGCCTAGAAGAAAAACCTTTGGTCTGTTTATACTGTAACCACATACCTGTATCTCAGAAATATGAGACAATTGATGGGAAAGGGGAGGGGACTGACATCTTTAGTTTCCTCTGCACCAGGTGCAGTCAAGTAGGTAATATCTTCCTAGCCACTATTTTGAATCAGTGCCACTTTTGGCCTACTGTACCTGCTGAACAGCCCCTGCAGGGAATGACTCCAAAACATGCCCATGCTCCCTGCTCCGGCAAGATGAGTTCTTTCCTGGAGCCCTGGCGGGTGCATGCATAAGTCAGCCGAATCCTGGAACAGTTCTAGCACAGCTGCAGCTCCTTCAAGCCAGAGAAAGACAAAAATACTAAATTTTATTCTAAAAACAGTGTCTTTTTTTCCCCCTTACAGGAGGCACCAGTTAATTTGCTGTTGCTGCCAATTTATGTTCCATCTTTGCCAGACACAAAATGTTTCATAGAAGTATGTTACCCTGTCACAGCATATCATAAAACACCAAGGTCGTTGACAGACACAGGGATGGACAAGACAACTGTCCGGACTCCTTACTTTCTTGAGTTAAACTGTAAAATTTTGAAATCCAGTTGAATTCACTGTCAGTAAAAAAAAAAATGTCTAGGTTGCTGGCTCTCAAATTCCTGGACTAACAAGGAAGAAGCAAGGGATACATACGTAAAATGAACATATTTTGTTTACAAGAACAATTTTCAAATTATTTCTCTGCACCATAAGAATACAGAAAAATATGCTTTATGTTTGTTAAGACAGTAGCTTTGTGACCAAAGTAGCTACTTTTACAGTACTGATTGTATGAAACTAAAATACTGCAGGCCACGGGAAAAACAAATTTATTACCTAGCTCTATTTCTTCTGATTTAATTCCTTCTTTCTGCTAATAGTGTCACATCAGGTTATTCAGTACTCACTGGAGCAGAGTTAGCCATGTGAAACTGTTTAAGGAAATATGTTTTGTCACACATTACATGACACAGCAAAGACAGGACATGCCTTATCATCTGTTCTGCACAGGTCACATTGCAGTGACAGGTGGAACTGGACTGGGCTTCTCAAAAGGGAGAGTGTGTTATTGCATTAGCCCTACTGAAACACGTCATATTTCTGATGTTTTTATTTCTTGAATCTGTGCAGGAACACTACAGATTATACAGGATGCAAAGTCTCTATGTTTAAGAGCTTAGATCTTCTCTGGGAGGAGAATATTTATTATTCCTAGGTAGTGATTAACATGAACTCTGAGCTAGAGTTTACAAATATGATGACTCTTTGATTTATACGACGAGTGAAAAACACTGGAAGAAATAGCTTGAGAAAGAGAGAGACCTTCATATCTAGTGCAGGCTGTTAACACTCTCTCATCACAATAGGTCTCAAGGTAAAAATCTTCCAAAAGCCAATCCGTTTCAGATTAATAGCCAAGTGCCTTATACTCAAGTTTAAGCAAGGAATTATCAAATACGTACTAGAGCAGAATGTCTGGTTTTCTTTAAATCTTACGCGGATTAAATTTTGTCATGAAAGAACTATCTGCATCTTGGGCAGTTGTAAAAATATCATGCAGGGCACCACCTGCCAGACTAATAACAATAATTAGAAATGTAATAAACTGTTCATTGGCAAGGTAACAAATTGTCTTATCCTTTGAAAGTCACACTGGCCTGAGGCAATTCCTCACAGACATTTGCCACTGATGTCACAAGATCCTCACTGAAGAGCATACTGTGCAAAAAGAAAGAAGCATAAAAGGCAAAGCGATGTTGAAGCAGTCTTGAGTAACTGCAGTGGATTTTCTTTTTACTGATCAAAATCAATAAAACGAAGGACTGACAAGGAGTTGAGCACATGCAGGAACCAGTCCTATCAGTCACTGTGAAACCTTCCAGAGCGGAGCATTGGAGATCCACAATGGGCTCATAATTCTTGCTTAAGGAACAGTTTTTGTTGAATTTAGACTGAAGTCTTCACTTGCAATTACTTACTCTTATGCTTCTTAATTCTTTTCATCTGTTCTACAGTACTTTTCCAAACAATACTTTGTACCAAATAAGATAATCAGGGAAAACCTATATGGAAGGTATCTCACACATTTAACTTAAAATTTTGAAAATCTGAAACTAATATTTATTTCTCACTGAAGTCCCTCTGTGTGACACAGAAACCTTGGTACATATTTCTACCTCCCATTTTAACTTTCTATATGAAGAGGAAACACAGCTTCACATCTCATGTTTTTTTAAGGGAGTATTTAAGAC